GCCGGAGCATGGTCCATTAGCGAAGTGGATTGGATTGAACTCCGGAATCTGGACGTGTTTGTGGAAAGGTGCAGAAAGGCGACATTGAACTGCTTTTCTGCATCTCTGCTTAAAACGCGTACACATTCAGGTGCTTCATCCAATCCCTTTTGCTAGTGGGACCTGGGCCCCGGTTTCGGCCAGCGGTGGGAGCCTTTGAAAGATTTTGTATTTTGTTTTTCAGTAGTTTTTTTTGTTTGCCAGACTTTTTTTTTTTTTTTTTTCCCGTCGAAGTTCAGCTTTCATTCAAATTCAATCATGTTCGAGGCCGGGGACCTCACATCCTGCCCGGAGGTATCTGGAAGCATCATCCAGCTTAGCTTACAGGCTTGTGCCTGCCAGTCTTCCACTACAGACTCGAGAACCAGCTCTCGGCTGATTTGCCAAACAATTTCCAAGATTTGTCGACAAATTTCTAAGTTTTTTGCCCATCGAATCAAGAGCAATTGCGGATAACGGGAATGGAACCCGTATCCCCTGCTTGGAAGGCAGACAATTTACCTTTAATCTATATCCCCTGTTTACATATATCGATTTGATAGACTCAGAAAAAAGAAAAGAGAGGAATGATCAGGAACAAAGGGAGGAGGGAGACGACTAGGAAGAGCCCAATGATGACGTCACCGTAGAAACAGGGCAATGATGATGATGACTATGATGATGATGATGATGATGATGATGACTATGATGACTATGATGAGCAACTAGCGGAGGAGAACGAGAAGGGTCAGGAGCAAGAGGAGGAAAAGTAGTACTAGTCGTAGTAGTAGCAGTACTGGTAGTAGTAGTAGTAGTAGTAGTAGTAGTAGTAGGAGGAGGAGGAAGTCGTTGATTCCAAATTGGTTATCACGAGGAGGAGATCCTTAAACCACCAGTTCACACGAGCCTGAGTTAATGGAGCTACATTCCAAGGCTCGCGAGCCTGCGACTGCGCCTTTGAAAAAGTTGTCTGCTCCTCATGGCTACCGGCCCTGGCCCGAAGCCAAGTGGTCTTACTGCGTAAGTGCGAACCGGTATGGTGATGATGATGGTCGAGATCCTCTCGAGGATGAGCATCCTGATGGTGAGGAGGAGGAGGAGGAGGAGGGGGAGGATGGGGAGGATGGGGAGGAGAGGAAGAGAGAATAAGATCGTGAAGTCAGTACTTGACGGTTCACGGATTGGTTCCATGCCTTAGGGCATACTCTTTACTTCTGGACTGATTCTGGCCATGATCCGCTTTGCATGCGTCAAGGGAAGTCCTGGTGTAAATACTCCGTCAGCTGGTTTCCCAGTTGTCGTTGTCATGCTCCGATGCACCTGAAGCAGGAATGAGACGGTGGAGACGACGGCGGCGAGGGTACAAGGACGAAAACGCGGAAGCGAGTACATGGATGGACAATGATCCTCCTCCTCCTCCTGGGAGACAAGACAAGAACGGTTGCAATGGACACACAAGAAGGGAGAAAAACAAGAAAACAGGAACACATCTAGGAGAAAGAAGGAGATGGAAGTGGAGGACGAGGACCGGGAAGGGCCGTGAAAAGAGAGGAGACCGGAACAAGGAGAGTGAATCGCAAGAGGAAGAGAAGAAAGTAGCAGGGACGTCTAGGAGGGTCACTAGGGAACAAGGAGAAGGGAGAGGAGGAGGAGAAGGAGGAGGAGGAGGAGGAGGAGGAGGAGGAGGAGGAGGAAGGGGAGAGCGGCCATGGACGAGGTGGAGTTCCAGGAAGAGGAGGATGTGGGTGGTGGTGGGTTGGCAAGAAGGGATGGAGAAGGATGAGAAATAAGGACAATACCAGCGGGAGGGATCCAAGGTAAGAGGAAGATGAGGAAGAGGGGGGAGGGAGGGAGGGAGGAGAAAGGAGGAGCAAGGGAGGCGTTGACGCAGGAGGATCATGGACAACTCAATTGATGCCTAAGTAGGCCGGCTGTGAGGATGCAAATGGAATGGCAGGTTGAAAAAAACAGAAAGAAAAAGAAAAGGATGGAAATGGGAGGAAACTTTAAAGAGGGAATAGGTTCGCACTCCGTATTACAGTCCTCACCCAAGTAGAACGTACAGTCATTATCGCTGTATGTGGACGGAAAGTTGGCCCAAATACAGGCATAAGGACCACGGCACAGATGATGGGATCTGGTAAGACTCTGACTTGGACTCGAGCCTCATCTCAATCATTATTTAATACACATTCATAATTTACAAAAAAAACAAAAAACAACAATATACCCATGAACTGTTGAAATGCAGAGCTGAGTTCGAATCCAAATGGAACCCGATCAACAAAATTCTGAAAAACAAAACCCTTCTGAAAAACAAAACTCTCCTAAAAGGGTTGTGAGGTGTCGGGGAGATTACCCAGGGAGGATGTCCGGCATACAAAACTCTCAATTAGGTGTACAATGATTACCAACGTCAAGGTCAGCGGATCGAGACCCCAGTGGCATTTGGCTTTGTAACTGTCCAAATAAACTGCCCACATGCTGCAGTCCTGGACACTAAATCCACTGTTTGGTGAAACAGCAACTCAGATTTGCAGACACACAGAGAGAGAGAGAGAGAGAGAGAGAGAGAGAGAGAGAGAGAGAGAGAGAGAGAGAGGCGATCAACTTTTTCCCGTCCCTTCTATCCCTTCTTGGCCGGGCTAATCAGCGAATATTCGCGTACTTCATTTGAGAGAGAGAGAGAGAGAGAGAGAGAGAGAGAGAGAGAGAGAAACACACATACACTCACAAAGAGAGAGAGAGAGAGAGAGAGAGAGANAGAGAGAGAGAAACACACATACACTCACAAAGAGAGAGAGAGAGAGAGAGAGAGAGAGAGAGAGAGAGAGAGAGAGAGAGAGAGAAACACACATACACTCACAAAGAGAGAGAGAGAGAGAGAGAGAGAGAGAGAGAGGGGCGATCCACTTTTTCCCGTCCCTTCTATCCCTTCTTGGCCGGGCTAATCAGCGAATCTTCGCGTACTTCATTCGCAAAACCCTGTTGGGGATTTGTCCTCCTCCTCTTTCCTCCTCTTCCGCCTCCTCTACTCTCCTTTTTCTTGTGCCACGTCGGCGGGTGAAATGGCCAGTGCTCTACTTCTCCTGTCGAGGTGACCCAACTGACGGTTGGACCGAATTGCCATGTCAATACCGAGCTGCCACGTGTACACTGAGCTGCCACGTGTACACCGAGCTGGCACGTGTACCTAGCTGCTCCTGCCGTCCTCCCCCGAATAGAACGCCCGGTCGTTATCGCTGTATCTAGACAGAAAGTTGGCCCCAAAACTTCAGTTGTAACGACCTTGCGTTCTATTCGGGGGAAGAAGGGGGGCTGCATGACGTGTGCCCGACTTTCACGCAAATCTAACATTTAGGGAGCGCGTAAGCGTGAGTGCCAGGCTGGCAGCCGCGCCCTCTCGCCCTCCCTGCCCCGCCCGGCAGCACCAGGGGAGAGTGACCTGGATGCACATGACCGTTTTTCCGACCTCGCTTGGATGCACCTGACCGCAATTACGTCCACAGAGCAGTGGAAGGAGTCCTGGTGTAAGCATGCCCTGAGTATATATGGAGTAAACCGCTCGTCTCTGTTCATCCATCATCCTTCTCCCGCTTGAGATGGCACCTGGACGTTGTTATGCATCTTATACGTCGAACCCTTGCGATGGACTCCTAAACCCTCCCTAAACCCTCCTTCGCAAGGAACGACGAAAAACACCACCACGAGAAAGGGGTCATGGATCTGCTGGGGGAAAAAGAAAAAAAGAAAAAAAGACACCCGACGAAAAAAGAAAGAAAGCACGATAAAAAAAAAAAAGCACAATTATGTACCGAAATGAATCAGGTGAGTTCATCTGTCCCCTTCGGTCGGGACGTCAATCACGAACCCTTAAAATTGGAGCGATGCAGACGTGAAAGATTAATTACAGTAATCAGCATGGCCCCGAGCACAAAGCTGGCTGGCGAAATCGGCACAAGATGTTTGCCGACCAGGCAAACAATATACAAAACGAGTCGCCGTACCTGGTCGTTATCCCAGGAAGGTGCACGCATCTGAGACTACAAACACGCAAATCGTGGGCTCAAAACCCTGCGCATCATCCTTCCTCTCCCTCCTGCTGTTCACAGCAAGTCTAATTCACTCAATTCACGTATTCTCGTTCTTCTCCTCCTTCTTCTCCTTCTTCTCCTTCTTCTCCCTCCAACCGTTCAGATCAAGTCACCTTCACTAGACTAACATCTACTCCTCTTCGTTCTCCTTCTTCTCCTTCTTAGACTACAAGTCGTCCTACTTCTTCTACAGAAAGCCCACGTCCACATCCTGAATCGACATCTACTTCTTCTCGTCGCTAGCCTGAGGAGAAGGACGAGGAGGAGGATGAGGAGTCGGTTTTGCCCATCTCCGCTTCGATCTCCTCAAGCGTGACGCCGGTGGCTTCTTCTCCGTCTTCTCCTTCGTCTCTCTCCTTCTTGTACGTGTTTTACTTCTTCTACAGTAAGCCCGCATCCCCACACTCAGTCAACATCTACTTCTTCTCGTAGCTAGTTTGAGGAGGAGGAGGAGGAGGAGGAGGAGGAGGTTCTGCCCATCTCCGCTTCAATCTCTTCAAGCGTGAGGCCGGCGGTTTCCGGAACTTTGAGAGCGACGAAGATCAACGAGGCCCCTGTGAAGATAGCGAAGCCCAAGAACAGAGTTCGCGTTCCCAGTGACTCCTCTAGAGGCGGCATTCCCATCGTCACGACCGTATGGCTTAGGAAGTTGAGGATCGCCGCGATACTGATCGCCCGCCCACGGCACCTAAGCGGGAAGATCTCGGACACCATCAACCACGTGATTGGCCCGAAGGACAATTGATAGCATCCTACGTAAAACAGCAGAGCAACTACGCAAGCAATAGGAGAACCCCCTCCTCCTCCTCCTCCTCCTCCTCCTCCTCCTCCTCCTCCTCCTCCTACCCCCCCTCCAGCAGCCGTACTACCTCCGACCACGGGAGAGGAGGAGGACGTCCCACCCTCCCCTATGCTAACCGTCAAAACCAGCAGACTCAACAGAATGCCCGTGATTCCGACGAAAAGCAGAGGCCGTCGGCCCACTCTGTCCACCAAGACGATGGCGAATCCTGTCATGATGAGCTTGACCAATCCGATGAGAGCAGCTGCCGCCGTCGCATCGGACGTGGCATGGAAGCCCGCCTCCTCCATGATGCTCGCAGCATAGAAGAGCACGCTCGGCTGACCTGTCATCTGTTGAAACAAGATCAATCCTGAGCCTATTACCAATGCGGTCAGGTTGGTACCTCGGAGAAGAGCCATCCAAGAATCGCCATTCTCTACCCCACCACCGCCGCCGCCGCCGCCATCACCACCTCGACATTCCTTCCGTCCGTCCTGATTACCTCCTCCATCTCCTCCTCCTCCTCCTCCTCCTCCTGCTGCTGCGACACAGCTTCCGACCATCTTGCGCACATTGAGCATAATCTCGGCCAGCTCGGCCCGGATCTCCTTGAGGTCTGCAGCGGAGCCGCCCCTGAGAGAGACCAGAGAGGCCGTCGCCTGCTCTTGCACGCCGAGCAGTCGCCTTCTCTTCTCCTCATCTTCGAGGCCAATTTCGCAAAGCCCCTCCTTGGCAGCTCGCAAAAGCAACCACCTTGGGGATTCCGGCAAGCACACCATCCCCAGTCCCATAGTTGCAGCGACGGGCGCCGCGAAGCCGTAGATTATTCTCCACCCACCGACCACCTGTATCTCGCTGTAGCCGACCACGTAGCCCATCAACATGCCCACGACGATCGCCGCCTCCTTGAGCGATATGAGCATGCCACGTACGCTGGCCGGGACCGTCTCCGCTATGTACATCGGCGCCGCGTGCATCGCGAGCCCGATTCCCAGCCCGTAAACGACGCGGGAAGTGATAAGTTCCACAAGAGAAGGGGCTAATCCCACGCCAAGAGCACCCACACAGTACAGGGCAGCGGAGAGCATAAGCTCCCTGCGCCGACCGATCAGATCACCAACCAGAAAGGCGATGACAGAACCCATCACGGCTCCAATTAGCGACCCGCTGACCACGAGACCTGTCGTCAGAGCGTCCAGCTTGCTCCACCCGGTGCCGCTGAGCTCCGGGCTCGTCAAGGACAGCGAGGCGTCTGACGTGGCACCGATGTCGTAGCCGTACAAAAGGCCTCCAAGCGCGGGAAAGAAGAAACACACTAAGATGCTCCCCCAATACCTGAAGGCGAACTTCCACGAGGAGGAGGAGCAGGAGGAGGAGGGAAGGACTGGACGTCCATAGGAGTTGTTCTTCGGTGTCCTGGATAGCAAAGGCTCGACAAGTGGGTCGGCACTGCAGGTCTTACTAACTCCCCTTTCCACATCGTCATATTCTTCTTCGTACTGGTGGTCTTGCTCCTCCTCTCCTCTACCTACCTCAGGAGATCTCGCCTCGTTACCTCCATACGACGATCTCACGTCTCCCCCTTCCTCCAATCGGTCCCAATTGGCTTCCATCTCTCTCTCTCTCTCTCTCTCTCTCTCTCTCTCTCTCTCTCTCTCTCTCTCTCTCTCTCTCTCTCTCTCTATATATATA